CAGATACAGATACAGATACAGATACAGATACAGATACAGATACAGATACATTTCTTTTGTTTTAAAGTAATTAAAAAGTAAGAATTCCGAATTGAATTCAAATTAAATAAAGCTTAAATCAAATATATTAAATTATGCCGCCGTTCACATAATGTGCACGGAAACGTTTTACAATTAAGCCCTGCTCGTTGAGCCTATCGTACACGGAGTTATGGCCGTACTCCCCACTCCTGCTCGGGCCATAAAGTGGGCGGCAGGAATATGAAAATCAACACAGACACGAGGCACTCGGAGCCGGTTGCCAATTGCAATTGCATATTTACTTATCGCCAGGAAGATAACAATTGACTGGGCTCAACCACAACAACAGCAAAAAATGGGTAAAGGAATTAAAAAATCCCTGTGAACTTTATTAAAATTATGAAAAGCCCAATAAAAGGAATGAAAACCAGAGACAGAAAACGAAAAAGCTGCTGCGCGCCAAAAGCAAACGCCAAATTAAATGGAATGCAAAAGAGAGAGAGAATGGTTAAGGTGGCAACAGAGCTGACTGTAGCAACAAAGGACACGCACAAAAGGGTCCTTGCGGCAGCATATGCCCGACTGGAGCAGGAGCAGGGCAGTGGCTGGCTCCTGCGCATGCAACTGAATATAAAAGTGCAGTCGATTAACGGAAGCAACGCGATTCCGACTCGCCATTGCCCGCCGCATCTGTGCCTGGCCAGGCGCGTGGGCGTGGTCGTGGTCGTGTCCTGTCTGGGCGGCATATGCATTTTTATTAAATTTAATAAAGCTGCAATTAAACAATTTACTTTTGTTGCATTTGTCGCGCCAGCAGACGAAATCTGAAATAAATTTCATTGTGGTGCACGCAAGAAAAAAGAAGGAAATAAATATATTAGCAAAATGTGTAACGGCTGAGGGATACTTTGTTTAATTTATTGTTTATTTTTATTTTTTTTAATTATATCTTATAAAGAGTTGCATTTATAAGCAATTCTTGTTGCCAAATTAATTTTAAAATATTTACTCAAGCTAAATATTTACTAACAAATATACTTTTTTCATTTATCTACAGCGAGTATTTAAATATGTAAATTGATAAAGTGCAGAGTGTGGAGGGGGTGGGGCGCATTCGAGTGGAATAAAAAGAGTTGTCAGCAGTTAAAATGCCAAGCGGGGGAAACACACTCAACAACAGACTAGCAAATGATATAATTACACTGTACAACAGGTATTTAGAACTGAGGCAACAAAACGTGAGCTTAACGAACTGAAATGATAGGCTAACAGTAATCGCAATAAGCATCGTTTAAATATGTATTTATATTATCATAAAACTAATTTAACAATAAAGAGTATCTGCTCTGCTTATTTTATGCTTCATTCACAAAGTAATTTCTCAAAATAACTCATCCGATTTCCGTCGCCCTGTGTGCGTGTGTGTGTTTGGGGCTTGGTGGAGCGCAAAGATGATCAACTAGTGGGCAATTAGGCAAAGCGTTTGACAAAGGTCGAGCAGCCCAGTCTGGGCTCGTACAATGTGTGAATTGGACAGATTTACCGGCTGCAGCATCGTTGGGGTCGCCGTGCTCATTGCCATTGGCCTGAGCTGGGCGCAGATGGAGGAGCGCAAAAAGTGGACGACGGTAGGTGGGGCCGATGTGGGGGCATGCTTGAGCCCGGACTGAGTGCTGTACATCTGATGCTTGCAGCTTGACTGGTTGCAGCAGCTGAACTACAGCCACGAGCTGCACAATGTGACCAGCGGCGATGGCTACCAGCTGCAGCTGCAGCGCTTGCCGCGCCTGGGGGCGCGACCCGTGCTGCTGGTGCACGGATTGATGGGCTCCTCGCTCGGCTGGCTGTGCCTGGGGCCGGCCAAGAGTCTGGGTAAGCAGCTGAGCTCGATCTATTCACATTTATCTCAATGCATCTGTGCCGCAGCCTTTCAGCTGCATCAGCGCAACTACGACGTGTGGCTGGCCAATCTGCGCGGCTCCTCGCCATATGGCAGACAGCACGTCGAGCTGACCGATGTCATGGCCGATTTCTGGCGCTATAGCTTCCACGAGCACGGCGCCTACGATTTGCCCGCCATAATTGACCACATTGTGGCGCTTACGCAGCGCGAGGCAGCCGAACAGCTAAACGAGACGCGGGCGCATCAAGTGCTCCTAATTGGACACTCACAGGTGAGTATCCTCCATCACTCCTCCATCCGTCTGTGAGGGCAAGCAGTGAAACGATGTTGATTCATGTTTGCTTCAGGCTTTCAATGCCTTCCTCGTGCTCTGCGCCCTCCAGCCGCGCTTCAATCAGCACATCCAGCTAATGCAGGGGCTGGCGCCTTTGGCCCGGCTGCATCGACAGGTGCGCTTCGATGCCGCCCACGTGCGCGCCATAATGAAGTTTGTCAAGGTAATTACCATTTTAGCAGCGTGCCGGCTAATTGCATGGCATGAGAAACACATAAGGGGCTTGTTTTGTTTTTGGTTTTTTTTTTCATGTTGGAGAGATGCTAAATTAGAAAGCTACTTGGAGGGAATTGACTTAGATTCTAAATTCCAGTGCCTCTGGTAATTTATACATACACATACATACATACATACATATGGATATATGTAGCAACACACCTTTGCTTAACAAAATACATACATGTATAACTTAATTTAATATTTTTATCAAATTGTAGGTAGAATTTGAGTTAATGAGTCTTTACGTTTTTCTTTAAAACAATTATTGCTCAGCTGTATGTATGTCAGTACGTATGCGTGCATGTATGTATTTATGTATGCGTTACAAGCTTCGAAAAGCACTCAATAAGACTGCACACTCCTTAAACAGAGCCATAGCTCATCAATGCCTGTAAATATGTACATACATACATACACACATACGTGTGTCTGTTACTCGCTCTCTGAGAGCTGAAGCTGAGAGAGCGACCGACTGCAACGGTTCTATAATGAGTTCGTTCGCTATCGGCTTTGCCCGATCGTTTGTTTGGCTGAGCTAAATGCAGAAAAATGTGTGTTTGTGTATGTATTGGTATGTAAGCAAGTGTTGAGTGTCAAAACAAGGCGCTTAGCAGAAAAGTAAAACGAAACGAAACTAAGTCCCTTGTATAGAGAGAGAGAGAGACAGAGCGAGAGGGTACGCTTTTTTTGGTTACTGTAGCGAATAGAGCGTAAAGCTTAAGACGATCAACTGTTATTTGCAAGCTTCTGACAAAATTCAAGCTTATGCATATACATATATAATTGTATGTGTGCCTATGTGTGTATGTTTAATGTACATGTATGTACATATTTGTGTATTAATATTAGACCCAATCATAAACTCGCAAATTTATTAAGCCGAGTTCCGAACTGGAGTTAGCATGAATAAAAAATCAGCTACAAATCAGCTAAATAATCAGCTAGAAACAATTTTTCTTGGAATGTACAAATATTTGCACATCGGCATGCTCAAAAATATGTGCTTATTTATGTATGTATTATATATATAATTACTGGGTCTGTCACGCCTCTTCATAAAACATTATACCTTAATTGACCTTTTGGAATGGTTTCCGTTATATGATAACTAAAAAAGTGGCATGAATTCGATATATCCTTAGCTTGTTAATTTAAGACTTTCCCCAATAAATCTCTGTCTATGAGATTTGGAATGACCAATTCAGTTTATTGCTTGGGCTTATTGTAGTAGTTGGCTTTAACGAATGGCATTCGCGTTACTTCCGCCTCGTAGAATTTGTCGCGCACCTTCAGCTCCAGTTTGGTGCCGGGCTGCTTCAGCTGCTCCGCCACGTAGCCCATGGCAATGTTACGTCCGGTGCTGGGGCTGGGACAGCCGCTGGTCACGCGACCCACTTGCTGGCCGTCGCTGAAGATGGCCACGCCTGCGCGAGCTGGTGGCGCTTTGACGCCCAGCATTTGGAGGCCAATGCGACGACGCTGCACTCCCTCCTTCAGCTGCTGTAGAATGGGCTGGGCGCCGGGGAAGTCGGCGGTGGTGCGTCGGCGCTTGGCCACCAGCCAGGCCAGCGCTGCCTCCACGGGCGTGATCTGTGCATCGATGTCGTTGCCATAGAGACAGAGGCCGGCCTCCAGCCGCAGCGAGTCCCGGGCGCCCAGGCCAGCCAGCTTCAGTTCTCCGGCAGCCAGCAGCGCCTCGGTCAGTGCCTCCACCTGCGAAGACGGCACCGAAATCTCGACTCCATCCTCGCCCGTATACCCGCAACGACTGATGCGTACGTTGCTGATGCCAGCCAGCTCAAAGATTCCGGATCGCATAAAGTAGAGCTGTTCCAGTACCTTGGGCTGGGGCAGCAGCTTCGCCAGTTGCTGGGCCACCTGTGGGCCCTGAACTGCAATCACAGATTGATCCGCCGGACTCAAGAACTCAATGGACACATCTTTACCCTCAGACTTGAAGCGAGACTGCAAAAACTATTGTGAATATAAAGGCTTCAGCAAGGGAAAAATTTAGTCTTACCACAGCTGAGCTCATGATTTCCTGATCCTGTTGCTTCATGGCCGCATTGGAGACCACATAGAGCTCCTGCTCGCTCACTTTGTTCACAATCAGATCGTCGAGAATGCCGCCTTGCTCATTGGTGAACACAGTCAGGCTGCCGCTGCCGCCGGGCATCTGCAGTATGTCCGCGGTGCAGACGCTCTCCAGGCACGCAGCGGCATCCTTGCCCCGCACATACGTCTGCAGCATGTGCGAGACGTCGAATATGGAGCCGACGCGCCGTGTGTGCAGGTGCGAGGCAATGATGCTCTGGTCCGAGTACTGCACGGGCAGCGCATAGCCGCCAAAGTTCACGATCTTGCCGCCCTTGCGCACATGGAAATCGTAGAGGGCTGTGCGCTCGCCCGCTGAGCTGGACGAGGCGTGGCGCACCCTCGGCCAGCCGAGAGGGAAGATCTTGTGCGTCTGCAGTCTGCTGCTGCTTAGCTTGAACATGTTGGCGAGACTGAAGAGCGGGCCTCGTCCATGTGTGGTTCGTGTGCGTCCATCACTTGATAAGCCACTTGACACCGCCTGACATCAGGGAGAGCAAAGTGGGCAGACCTAGAGACAGAGCAGCAGAAGCAATAAAGGAATAATGTGTACACGCTGAGCTATATATACGATGAGCTGTGATTAGAGCTGAGGTTCAAAAATACCTGATAACCCCCCACAGAGAGAGAGAAAGAGGGATAGAGCACTCAGATTGTATATAATCAGCTGTGATTAGCTGAGAGCATTGAGAGAGTGTTTCTAGATAGCAAAAAAAAAAAAGAGCGGAAAAGAGAGAAAGGGAGAGAGAGAGAGAGAGAAAGAATATATTTATGCCTACATTAACATATTTAAATGCTTAAGAGTATTTTTAAACAAAATGGAAAAGAAGAGAGAGATTTATAGATTTATCAACTATTATTATTAATATTATTTTTTGCTAATTGTACATATTATTATTAAATTGCTAGGATAGAATTTTTTCTAACATTTTCCGAAAATGTTAAGTTCTAACAAATTTTTTTTTTTTAAGTTTTATTAAGAAATATTTATGCACATACATATTCTTTGTGTGGTTTATACAACTTTTATTTTTGGCTGTTGTTATTTATTGTATATTTTCTTATAATGTTTTTAACATAGATTTATATTTCAATTTTTGTTTTTATATCTTAGTATTAACTTTAAGAACGTTACTTATTTTTAATGTTATTAAAAATATACAATTATTCCAAATCCAAATTATTGTGTTGTTAATATAGAATCTTCAGCATTATTTAATATTAATATTTTGCATGATTTTTATTTTGTTTGTGTTTTTAAATTTACGTATACCAAATATTAAGATAAAGTAAAATGCATAAAATAAAAAAAGTTTAGCTATATAATTAATTATATAATAAATAATAAATATAATTAAAAATATGTAAGCTGCTATAAGTTCCTTCAAAGCTGTGATGAATTAAATTCAATATTAAAATTTAAATACATAGTTTCTGTCGCCTTGATTGATTAACGATTAAGGCACATTCTCAAAAGTTTTCATAAATGAATTTAACTTAAAGCACTCTTAATATTCCCACTTTCCTTTCAATGCAGAAGCGAGAAAAGGCCAACAAATTTGAATTATTTCCACCCGGCGAGCTACGTAAATTATGCAGCAAAAAGCGAGAGATTTGTGAATATTATACGAAACACTTGGCGGGCAGCGCGCAAAGCAATAAAAGGGTATAAACAACAATACATTTACATAAATTTATATAGATGTAACATTTATAATCATAGCCATAATCCATTACAGCTGCTGGAGATCTTCAGCTATGAGCACCTGCTCCAAGGTGGTTCGGCGCGCGAGCTGCGACACCTGCAACAGATTTGGAAATCGGGCGATTTTATATCCTACGACTACGGACCCATTGAGAATATGCGGATCTATCAGAGTGTCGAGGCGACCAGCTATAATCTCAGCCAGATCAGCGTGCCCATCATCCTGTACTTTGGCGAAACGGATGCGATTGCCACGCCCGAGGGCGTGCACGGCATCTATGCCCGCATGCTGAGCTCAGTGCGCGGCGTGCGACGCATTGCATCCTCGAAGTTCAATCACTTTGATTTCCTAGTCTCGAGCGATGTGAAGACGCTGGTCAATGACAAGCTGATCGAGGCAATGGAAAAGTTTTTCGAAGGCAAATTACCATACATAATCGAATGAGAGTGGGAGAGAGCAACGGGTAGAGTGGAGTGAGGGAGGGAGGGAGGCAGGCATCAGTTGTTCGTGGTGCTAAGTAATTGGGCTCCCCGAGCTGTCATCAAAGGCGCCCATTGAGGCTCATTAAAAGCGCGAGCCAAAGCGAAATGTGTTTTATTTGCTCTGGCAACGAGCCAAACGGCCAAATGGCAATTATGTAATCGGTTCGCTGTTGGCCAAGCCATAAAAAAATCAAATAAAAAACTGAATACTAAGCCAACAACAACCACAGCAACAACAACAAAATGTGACAAATTGCTGTCTGGGCCCAACACTTTTACTTTCTTTTGATTGCCCACTCAAAAGGCAAACGGACAAAAATGTTTTTTGTTTCTTCTGTTGTCTTTGTTGTTTTTTGTTTCTTTTTTCGATTTTGTTTTTTTAGCAGCCGCCTAAGTATTTGACCCACAATAGACGACGCGGAAGCAACGGCCACAATAGAGGCTTAGCCAAAAAAAGGTTATTAAG